ACCAGCATCTACATGTCCTTATAAAATGTACACATTTATGAAGTGGCTTTGTAATTTTAGTCATAAACTTACTTAATTGTTTAACTCAACCTATACATTGACCTTTTAACTCAGTCTAGAAGTAAAAGCTGAGTTAAAAAACACAGTTTAATATATACATGTACATGTATGTTGACTCTTTTTGTCTTTTGTTCTTATGTTAGTGGTTTGTGTGCCTCCTACAGATCTTTTAGGTTAAGCAAATTGCTACTGATTTTTGTAGTTTGTTCATTTGTTGGGCACACCACCGTCTTAAGTTGGATGGAAAAGATGAGGAGGGGGAGGGGGGAGGGGGGTGGGGTGTTCCAAAGTTAGTAACCTGTAGTACAGTGGTTGTCGTATAATCATGTTATATATTTGTTTTTTGTAATTATTTTGTTATGAATTAAGCTCTTAGTTTTCTCGTTTGAATCATTTCACATTATTTATGCTCTGGACTTTTTAATACAGCCAGCTATAAAGTATAGGTTTCCATTGTTGAAGGCTATGTAGTGCCTAAAATTGCTTTATACTACTGCATTTTAACTTTATTAGATACTTGTCTCATTGGCAATCAGACCACATCTCCTCATTTTTTTTAATTAAGGTTTATAATTGTTTTTATCAGGAAAGCTGTTTAACATGTATAAGCACATTTTCACCTAAGTGCAAAGAAGTGCATTTAATGACATTAATTTCAAACTTGAGTTGAATAGTGTTTTTTTTTATTTTACTTCTAAATTGAGTTTTAAAAGAAAGTAGGTCAAGGTAAACAAGATAAAATTTGTGAGCTAAAATTCAAAGTGACTTTTTATAAGGACATAATAAGATGCCAATAATATTATACATAATTCAAAACATAACATGTTTGTTGATTTTATGCCCAAAGCATTTTTTATATATAAGTTCCCTTAAGTTTTTATATTCTATTTTCATTAAAATGTTTGATTTCAATATAGATACTTAATAAAAACCAGAATGAGTTCATTTATTACAAACAAATAACATTCACATTAATTTTCTTATTAATTTAAGATTTCATATCATGTTTTTGTTTAATTTTTTGTATTTACATTTTACTTCATGTACTTATAAAAAGTACTAGATTTTAACTGTGTCAACACTTATGTGATAATGTCAAAACACATGTACATATTTAAGCATATTTAAATATTTTGGCATAATCATGATCATTCAATAAGAGTTAAAATAAGGATAAGAAAGATTATTTTCTGTTATCATCACAACATATCTTATTCTTAAATGTGCTTGCATTTACAGACTACCTTAAGTTTCAGGGGCAGATCCTGGATTTTTTAAAAGGGAGTGTAATTCCCAATAATTGATCACCCCCAAAAATGTGTGACATTAAAAATGTTTTGGATGATTTTATACTAAAATTTATATATATCATGAAATAGAGAAAAACATGATTTTTTTTTTCGGCAATCATAAGTATGTGAGGGGGGCGGGGGGCTTTAACACTCCCTCTTGACCCCTGGATCTGTCACTGAGTCTTATCACTCGCTTAGCTTTGTGCACGTGGCACTGATTGATTAACCATAACGATATAATTATTCAATTGAAAGATTATACATATATGCATCCTATATCCATTGCAGGAAAAGATCATGCTTACCATTTTTGAATGTAGTGCCTGATCTGGCTACATTTAAAACATACTGCGTGTACAATATTTGTTGATGATGTAGTTGCATTTATATTTTATTATTTTGCAGATTGCAGATAGTGTCATCAAGTCCAGTAGGAATAGCCATAATATTGCCTAGTTAGTCAAGGATATGGAGAAACCTGTCATATATTAAAATTGGAAGCAATACCTTCAGCAATATTTTAACACTGCAGCATATATAAAGCACATATCACCACTTTATTGTTGATTCATCAAAACACAGAGTTATAACATCATACTAACATGTAAAGGATCATGTGACTCATAACCTACTATCATCAATATGTTTATAGAGAAGAACACTTTAATTTCACAATCTATTATGCCAAACACCTTATCACACAATGGATTAAATGCAGCAAGACCGTGGTATCTCTATGAATAAATCCGGGAATATTGCTATAATGAAACTAATAATGACATAGTCTGTCCAAAGCCAGCCATTGCTATAAATCAGAGTGGACTTGACCGATAAAGGAGAATCCAATAAAGATTAATGTCCATCAAGAACGGAGCTTTTTATGAAATAAAGTACCAAAGTTTGTTTTGTCTACTATTCTAATTATTTTTAAATTTGAAAATATGTAATTTTTCAAGGCTAATGTCACCAGCAAAGTCAAAACATTTTTAGTTGTTAATAAATTGACCACATGGGAGAGAACTGGAATATCTTGCACTTGGTACAGACATTTTCCATAGCAATGCCACTAAGTTTAAGTTTTTATTTCATTTAATTTATGAAAAAAATCTGATGGAAGTTTTGATACATCTTTTTTTATATATTTTATAAAAACAAAAAATACATTCAAAACATACGATAACAAAAAGCAACTCATTGAAAACCAACCAAAACTTAAAAAGGACACTTAATTTCAAAGTATCAATGCAAAAAAAAAATACAGATTTAGGGAAAATGACATGTAGACAGTACATTATCACCAGAAACAACACATAAAATATTTGTAAACATTGAGACGTTTGGAGAATATAAAAAAAGAAGTTCTGGAATATTTATTGTTTTGTTTCTATGGAAACCACATATTAAACACATACATATTCCACAAAAAACTAGATTTTTGTCATCAATATAGATATTCAATTCTGGAGTATTTATAGATTAGACAATATTGAGGTGGAAATATACATATAAGTGAAATGTATTAGTTAATGGCAAACCATAAGTGATATAGATCTGGGGTCTTTTGATTTAAGGTCAAATAAAAGGAAAATAAGGTCAAGGTCAAAGGTAAGATCATATAAGCTATAATCAAAATTAAAAATATGATCTTGATCTTGAACACTTATGGTTTGCCATTAACTAATACATTTCACTTATAATTATAAAATACAGAAAGGGGAATAAATCTCATATGGAATCTCAATTGGGTCTCTACCAGGGTTGTTTTAGAACAATAAAAAATCGAATGGAGATCCATGATCCCCTATTTTACACATGGGACCGAAAACTGATTAATTGATTGATTGATTGACTAATTCATTCATTGATTTAAATTGTGCACTCTCTACGCGAGACATCGTATTTCACTTCCCCATTCTGTCCAAACGTAGCAACGTGTTTATATCTCCCGAACAGTCAAACGAATTCTTTGGACGCCGTAATGAAAAAAAAAATCTTTGCATCTTCCTTTTATAAATTTTCTCTACTTTCTACGGAACCTAGGACTTCATGTTTCATTTATTTGTTTTGTGTTGATTATTTTCAGTTTTTTTAAGGAAATCGGACATGGATATTTAATTTTGAATAATTAAGGTGTACATTTTGAATGTCCCTTTAGTATCCTTCGTCTCTGTGTAATTCGAATGTGGAAACCCCCTTTTTATTTAAAATAGCACGCGCTGTGACGTCACTAAGCACATATAGTCAAACTGATAGCCTAAAAGAAAAAAAAAAACAATGAAGCAGATTTTTAAAGGGAAGATTTTATTTCAGATGTTAGTATATAAATCGGGTTGCATTTTCACAGTAACCGAACGGGACCTCTCTACCAGAAGGCGATTTTCAAATAAAGAGTTCTTTGATTTCCTATCAATCTGAAAAAAATACCCGAGAAGGGGGATGGACCTAGGTTGGTTCATTGTTTGTTTGGTTGACTGATTGATTGAGATAAGGTATACTTACATAGTGAGAGCTGTATAGTTTGAAGTTATAATTAGTCAATTTGTTGATTTGAACATTTCTGGGACATTGACCCCTCCATAACATGACGCGGCTAACATTTTTGTATTTTTTTTGTCGGTTATCTATTTCTCTTTCTGAGTAAAAGCAATATTTAGTAAATGTCAAAATTTGACCTCATTTTGAAATCATTGTCCTTCTGGTGGACCCAGGAACTCAAATCAAATAACCTCATGTTGCTATCGATTAAGGTTTACCAGTTACAAATACATATAACTTATATCAAATCTATAAGGGGAAATAACTCTCATATGGAGATTCCGAATCGCTTCAGTCAAAAATATTTTTTTGACATCCCGAGGATGTAACGAGCAATTTGATAAAAATAAATGTGTCGTTTGTGTACGGTTGAGAAGGAGTAGAGGTAACAAAAAGAAAAACAGTGTTCGGTTGAGCGCTGTCAATTTCAAAAGCGCATTGAATGTTCGATATCATATACCAAAGATCTAAACGATTTCTTGCGGAACAACTAAACAGCGCAAGAAAAAAAGTGAAGGAAAAGGAAGTAATGTGAAGATGTCAAAAAAGAGATTTCAGTAACTTACCAGCAGAAAAAAAGTTGAGGTAAAAATGTAAATATTTATTAATGATGTAGTCATTTTCTTGTGCATTAAAACATTGAAGAAGAACATTTATACCGAAGTTGTATCATGCGTACATTTGTACAGTGAATCTTTAGTTTAATTAAGAACTAGATTAATTCCAATCTGACACGAAAAATGTTACATTGAACATTGTACTATATGAAGTTTTCAAAAATATTAACGAAAATACCAAACTTCAAGGTTAATCCAATAAGGAAGAAGCCCATAATATTTGATGATATCAGACGTTTGACTATATTTATTAACGGAACGTATGGACAACAACTGTCATATCGCTAACTCGGTACAGGCATTTTTTGAAAAAAATGGTGGCTAAAACTTTGTTTTATAGCTAGCTAAACTTCTCACTTGTAAAAATCCTGTAACACGTGTAACGAATACAGAATCTTTTATTTTATATATCCAGCGTTTAATTTGTCTTACGTCTCTGTTTCTTCCAATGAAGAATCATAAGTGGTGCTTTATCCAGATAAAAGAAAAAAGGAAAGCAGATTTTATTTTTAGTATTGTAGGAATCACATTAATATAATTTATTTTTAATATTGTAGGGGAAAACCCATGTTATGTAGATGCTGTTTTGCATTGCAGTATTGACTATACACATCAAATCCACTATTCTCGTTATCCATGGCAGGTTGCCTCATCCTTTGTGCAGAACAAAAAAGAGATGCCAATGGTTTGATGTATGTTCCAAAGATAAGATCAACTGAATACATGTTCATGTATATATAACAGTTTGAAATTACAATGGACATGTATGTGTAAATTTTGATCTTTTCAAAATGTTTTTTACAACTATTTTCTGGCACACTTGCTTAAATAACACATGATAAAGTCAGAATACTTCATTATTTTAGATTTAATTTTTTTGTTTAGTATAATAATCGTTATCTTGTTCTTACTTTAATAGTGATAAAATATTGTATCAATGCATGCATCTGTAAAGTAACAATAATAAGTATCTTAGAAGTTATGCGCATATTTAACCGGTGTATGTTTCTGCAAGGATTACAAAATGTACCATAAGAACATGCATGTATATACAATGTACTAATGTAAAAGTGTATATGCCGTGTAAATTACGTATATAAACAATAATATCAACAGCAAATAGGAATGAATACATATATTGAACGTGTAAATACAAGTCTTTCTATTTTCATGTGTGTTGTGTTGTAGGTACACAGGTTTTGCTGCATAGTTGACGAGGCACAACATTCCAACACTATCAGCAGTATGTTTCGCCACTATTTTCTCCATTTATCCTCTTCTTCTTCTTCCAAATACGGGAATAGATTCCTAGGTAGGAGTGTAAAACTTCCCGGAACTTGTGTGCTATGTACATATGGACTTAATTAAAATTAATATAATAAAGAAAAATAGTTTACAATAACATATATACATTATATGCAGTGGCATGGTAGTTTAATATGATGTTGTGGGTCCTTCAAATGTTAGAGTGGATATGCCACTTTTGAAGGATTCCAGGGTGTCAGACATACCTATTGCTTCAGGTAGTGAATTCCAATCAGAAATAGTGTGAGGGTAGAATGAAAATTAGTAGAAATCTTTATTGGTTGCTATTTGCCTAAATTTATGTTTCCCCTAAGTACGTCTATCAGATTTTGTTAAATTGTCCTTTGGAACTTCAACTTACCCCCAATTAATTTTATATAGCATAGTTAATCTAGCCTTTTTTCTTCTAATTTGTAAACTTTCCCATTCCTAAGAATTTATCAAGTTAGAGACTGCTCCAGGTGTTCTGTCTTTATAATCGTTATAAACAAATCTGGCTGCCTAACGCTGTATCTGCTCAACCTGAGTGATGTGTTGCTCTTTGTATGGATCCCAGACATGGTAAAACTGAGTTTCGTCTGCATGTGGACAATTGTAGGGGATAAAAAACACCAACACTGAAATTGGGTAGGTATGATATAGTTAATAATGTAGAAAAAAATACTGGGATCTAAGGGGGAGACATTTAACAGCTTGAATTAATCAACAATTATAATATTTGCCTTATCTAATGTATTAAGCCACACAAAACCACCACACATCTTTCATATGTACATGTAAATGTAAGAAGTTCAGCTGCATAGGTTATATTGTTTGATTTGCTTCGGTTACTCCGACGTCAAGAATGAACATGTTTTATCTACCAAAAAAATCAAATATGGAATTGAAAATTTGGAAATCAATTTTTATGATATTATAGAAATGTTTTGGGTTTGGTCAGTTTATGCTTAGCCATGATAAAGTATAAATCAAGTAACCAGGTTAATATAAAAAATATGTACAGTATAATCATGTGATATATATGTCTAACAGTAAGACAATGTTTACAGTGATAATCCTTTCTGTGCTCTTTATATTTCTAAAGTCATGATTTTAGTGAATTAATCTTTAAATTGTACTTTTTTTACAAAAATATGGAATGGGGCGTTTACTAACTGGCAACACAACACCCTGGTATTTCCCGTATGGAAGAATGACATCCTAAATGTAATCCTTATAAGCATTTTTGCTTATTAAATGTCATTTGGGGATATTCTGGTGTGGAAACTATGAGTGGAATGGCTGAAATTGCAGAAAGTCTTAAAACATTTAATATAATATACATTAACTGGTAGAAGATGAGAAAAAGCCTGTCGTTTTTTATGATTGGGCAGTATTCTTAAAGATTAAGTAAACACCTCAGCTACAGGTATTCCGGCACTTAATTGGTTTATTTTCGAAATGCCATATATCCAATATTAACTCCTCTTTATGTGCATATACCTTTGATGTCTGTATACATGTGTATGGTATGTATATATCAATAAGGCAGAATAAACTAATTAACAATATGAATGCAATGCAGTTAAGTGACAAACAGTGGTATTCCTTATCACATTATACTTATTAAGAATGAGCATCACTTTTGTGAAGGTGTTTATTTCCCCAAAACTTATAAAGGTAGGACTAATTTAAAGTTTATTCATCTTTTAGTATATGTTCAAGTACAGTCATATTGGTTGGTGGTGAGCTGTATTGGCTAGAGGCAGATCCGAGGGCCTATACAGCTGATAGAGACCCACAACAACTGTACGAGGACAAAATACAAGATTAATATAAAAACACACATTTAATGACACCTTTCTTAACCATAGACTTAACAAGACTCCCATAAGCTGACCGAGAACAAATACAACTGTTGGAGAACTACTACAGATATGAACTTATTGGTTTTTTTTTATACAAAAGCAAAGAATGGCGATTAAACCTAACACAATAATCATGTGCATTCGATTTATCACTTTTGTGAAGGTGTTCAATTCCCAAAAAATCAAATGTATAAAGGTAGGACTAATTTAAAGTTTAAGTCGATTTACTTTTACCATTTGTAATATAGTGTTATTAAATTGGTGTTTTCATATTCATATTTTAGTATATGTCCAAATACAGTCGTATTGATAGGAGGTGAGCTGTATTGGCTAGATGCGTAGCCGAGGGCCTATACCTGTATACATCTGATCGAGACCCAATACAACTGTACGAGGACAAAATTGATATAAAACATATATCTAATGACAGCTGTATTAACCAATTACTTAACTAGAACCCAATAAGCTGACCGAGAACAAATACAACTGTTTGAAGAAATACAACAGATATGAACTTATTGGGTTATTTTTTTATACAAATGAAGGAATGGCGAATAAACCTAATAGAATAATCATGTGCGTTCGAAATACTCTTTCATTCAACTGTGGATAATTCTTTGAGTCACTCAAGTTATAGGTGGATTATCTCCCATCAAAATGACGTCACTGACGTATGTTAACAAAATGACAAATTCCTGGTTGTACGTCCGTCGAGTTACGAGAAAACAAAAAATCATCCTGTGCCGAAAAGGGTTTTACAAACGGCACTATTCAAGACCATCAATATCTTACAGAAAGTATCTATCTTTGGTGCACACACAAGGCAAGTTAAGACACACCCAATTATCTGATGTAAGAATGTTGACATTCTCTTACTACATTAAAACATGTGCAGAAACTCCATTGGTATGTATTTACAATGGTTCAAAAGAGTCTTCAACTGTAAGTGTGTTATAATAAAAACAGCTGTAGCCTAAATTGTTAACCCTAAAAGTTATTTTATTTGAGATTACGCCGTCAGAGAAATATCTTTTACGGTTGACTATTTTCGATATTCACCCTTTCTATGGCCCATAATTGTATATATGAAAAAGTATCACATATAAAAAGTAACATCAACTTTCACATCAAAATTGTTGAAATCTAACATTTTGCGTAATACACACTTCCATTCTTTGACACCTTTCGAAACAAATATCTGAAAGTAAAACCCGGTATTGGACCAGTTAAAATAATGTATAAGACCCGTGTTAATAACCAGTTCTTAGACACAAATTAATGATTTTAATGAAAGTTGCATACGTTGAATAACATGTTGGCACTTCGAAGTAAAGCTGACTACATTTTGTGGTCATTTTGTACCAATATTGCTGTCCATTAAATGATAAAAAATATCCTCAGTCATTATATTTACTGGTTTGTGATACCGATATATGATTTTTACTGATTGATGCGTGCAACTGTTTTGTATAAAAACCATACTGAGTATCAAAACTACTGATCTTAACAACGTGAGGTTCGATATTTTGATTAAAACTGTTTTCGCTCGATATTTAAGTCGAAACAATTTTGTATTCATTCATCTTAAAGGAAAGAGTTCTTGCAGATACTTCTTTGCAGCAAATTTGCCTAGTACATGCATATTTTCGTTCAGTGTCCCATTGAACTCGCTGTCCTTTCAGTGAAATTTGTTGATAGAAAATACTGCAAAATAACAGTAAAAGAAATCTAGCAAATAATGAAAAACTATATATCATTGATAATAAAGTCATAACAATTGTTAATGTTGGAATACTACAATTAAAATGATGCTGAAGGAATAAAACCACCAGTACATAGCCCATTGCTTTCTATGTTAAATTCTGCAATTTCAAAAATTAATGGCTACTTTGTCTTAAGTTCACATTAAGTGGCAGTCATCTCATGTCAAAACTATATACCTTATCCTGACTTGTGCTGATAAATTCAGCATTCCTTTAAATTGCATATTAGACCGCACCGGTTCCCGAAAGTTTGGTAGTACAAAAACAGGTACTTCTGATCTGAACAAAAGGGCGGGCAAATTTACAATCTCATACATATTTTTTCTATTATTTAAAAGAAACTTTCAACAAGGGTTTTACAGTGATCCCAAGTCTTAAAAGCTTTCATTTGATACCAAAATTACCCAAATATTTTACTTATTGACAATGCGTAGGAATAACTTATTTAAAATATGTACAAGTGTCGTGTATTTTCGTTCTGACCGGGCCCAAATTAGTGATTCTGTATCTAAATGAAGAGGCAGGTCCAGTTTCTCCTGTATTTGTTTCATTCTCATGGTCATAATCTAAAAGTTGTCAAATCCTACTAGATATTAAATGTTAAAGAGTTTATACTGTATCAGATACTTAAGATAATGGTTAAAAATAATTCTCCCTAACAAAGTTTGGAGACTTAATGGTTTTGCTTAGTTTTTTTTCTACTTCTTCTTCTTCTTCTTTTTCTTTATTAATTATTATTATTTCTCTCTCGCAGCTGAAGGTGGATCTCGGAAACCGGGAATTCAATTGCTGTTCGTTTGGGAGACTTTCGTAAATCCTCAAGATTGGAGGTATTTATAATTCGGTCCTTATTTAAGAAATCATTTAAAAATACTGTTAGAGTACACATATTAGACTGTAAAACTATGAATGTTTTCTTCTGGTGTGAAAAGAATTCTGGATAATTTGGCACTAACCCATCATTCAACTTGAGCCCAACACCTATGTCTCGTTTAACGGGATAGTAATGAACGCAGAGTAATGTAATTGTCGTTATTCAAATTGAACCCCAACACCTATGTCTAGTTGAACGGGATAGTAATGGACGCAGAGAAATGTAATTATCAGTTTTTCTTCTTCGGGTGTCAACAGGGGGTGGGTTTTACTATACAAGTCTATGGGAAAATTGATGAAAAAAACAATTTCAAATGGTCACAAATTGAGACTAATGAAAATAATAATAAGGGGTCTTTAGTAACTATAGGTTGCATTTCGGTAAATATTGACAATGCAATTTCCCACAGGAACTCCTTTTACGGCCAAAACTGTACCACTTTTACTATGAAGTTTTGAAAAAAATCATATCCTAGAATGGAAAGTTCATATGCACTACAATTTTTTTCAAAGGTCAAAATATAGGGCTGTGCAGCATATTTTCAACGTTTATATGCCCCGAACTTCTAAGAGTTTAAATTAACACTAAATTTCTTAACTATCCCTACCTTGACTGTAGGATTACCACAGATTTCTATATAGACAATATGCATATGTATATTTACTGGTATCATTCCCAAATAGTGTATCTATGAGATGAAACCTAGAGATCATAACTGGGAACCAGTATGTAAACAAAATTAATTATCTATGAATATTCTATATCTCCCCAAAAGAAGCGTGGTTTGAGAAACAGCTGTATTTACAAAGTGAAACCTATAGTAAGTCTACAATGGAATGATCTGAGTTTTTTTCCGGGTGTGGGGGGAGGGGGAGGCCTGAAAGTAATTTCTGCTTGATATGGTCCATTGTCAGCATTATTCAGTGTTATTTATTCTATTGACCATCATAGTTTTTTTTTTCAGAACACTTATATTGGGCACATACCCCAGACCCAGCCGGTACGCTGGGGTCGGGGAACCCTTGCCCCATTTTTTCTGAAGGGTGTTCTTAAACACATTTATAATTATATTCTATTTGAAGGTACCCTCTAATAGAAACTTTAATATTAATGTTTTCATTTTTGATTTAACC